TCTCCAATGTTCAATTTTTTAAAATATGTGAAATCGCTTTGTTTGTCGCTGTTATTGGAGTTGTCATGAAGAATAGAGCGTCTTGTAGTACTGCAGTGCTTTATCAATATGTTTATACGTTATGCTAACAAACAATAACTGACTGGGTCTGTCATCTGACCAATCACCGCCGATTAGAGTCGTTGTACGAATCATTTGGGAGTCGGTGAGTAAATCAGTTAAAAGTAAATGCATATTATAAGACAAACAACGTGTTTTTTTATCCTTGCATGCATGTTAAACTGTTTTTGGGAACTCCTAAAACAAAAATAGGAACATTTCAAATGCTATGATAGGGGCTCTTTAATATTAAACTAGTGCAAAGTGCCCGTGCAAAATCAGTTTTTGTGTGTTTTTAGTTATTGTTGGTTTGGTGTGTTTGAGTGCTCATTGTTAGAATTACACAGCAAAAGTTCAGTGACATTTTTATTTGTGCGTAGCTAATCCAAACAACGTCAAAGCGCATCAAAGGAAGTCCTTTTTATGGGTTAGATCAGTGGTTCCCAAACTGGGGTACATGAGGTGACAGAAGGGGGTACAAAATGCTGAGTCTTGCCGTTCATTTAATTCTACCCTACCTTAAAGCGATACTCCACCATTTTTTCATATTAAACTATGTTATTCCCTTAACAAAGACGAGTTGATCATACCTCTATCGTCTTCTTAGTGTGTGCACTCAATCGCACTTAACTAGCCCAGTTCATTCAATAGGGGCCAAGCAAAGAAGCGACCAAACACCTCCACTTTTTCTCTATTTAAATACAGTTACACGTAGTTTCCCTATTTAAATAGAGTTACACGTAATTTGACCAAGAATGATGACACAAAATAAAACGTTGGACTTTTCTAAGCGTGTAAAGTGGATAACTATAATGTATGGTGTTACAGCCAGCTCGTTTCGACCGTACATAAAGAGATACAAGTACACCAAAATTGCTGGAGGCCAACAGAGTCAATGAGATTTAAAAAGTCTTTTGAAAGAGGATTTGTTGGACAACATACATGGATGTTAAAGTCACCCAGTATTAATATTTTGTCATATTTGTCAATATCCCACCATACCGAGAAACCGTCGCTATTCACGACGAGTGGTGGGTACGGGAAAGTCACAAATGGCTTCGACTTTGGTCTCTATAGGCTTTACATAACCATTTCCCACGACTTTACCTAAATAGGTAACAGTTGCCTTCGCGAATTCCGATTTAGCAAGGTTGATGGTAAGATTAGCCTTTGTTAAATGAGAAAACAATTATTTAATCTGGTTAAGATGTTCAGACCAGGAGGAATTATACAACACCACGTCGTCAAGATATGCCTCACATCCTGACATTCCATACAGTATACGGTTTACGAGACGCTGAAACGTCGTGGGTGCATTTCGAACCCCAAAGGCATAACCGTATACTGCTGGAAAGCATCAGGTGTGATGAAGGCGGATAATTCTTTCGCTCGACTAGTCAGAGGCACCTGCCAATATCCCTTTAAGAGATTGAACTTACAAACATATCGGGCAGAGCCATCATAATCGACGCAGTCATCAACTCGAGGCAAAGGGAAGCAATCCGGCTTAATAACAGAATTAAGTTTTCGATAATCTGTGCGGAATCGATATGAGCCATCAGATTTATTTACTTGAACACAAGGGGAACTTCATGAACTGAAACTGAATTCAGACAGACCATGAGCAAGTAGATAGTTCTCCTCTTGTTTCAGCAAATCTCTTTTAAAAGGATTGACTCGATATGTGCTCTGTTTAACGGGACACGAGGCTCTTACGTTGATATCATGTTCTATGATAGAAGTACGATCAGGAACATCACGGAAAAGAGAGGGAAATGACATCACCAACTCAGTGACATCACTCCTCACCTTCTCTGTCAAATAAGAAAGATGAGAGGACAGGTTAAGAAGAATCTCAGAGTTTTTAATTCGCCCGTCGACTTTTTCTCGAGAAAGAAAACTCTCATCCTCATCAGCATTCTCCAAAGAATCCTTACTCGGGCTACGAAAGGAAGATGACAATTCTGGAAAAGAATCACAAGAGTTTACCACATTAACAGTAACGGAACAAACAGGAGCTATGTACAATTTCAACAAATTACTGTGACCTACTTGTACCTTCTTTCTCCGATCAGGAGTATTCAACAGATAGTTATTATCGGAAAGACGTTTAACTATCTTGTAAGGGCTTGTAAATTTAGCCTGAAATGGATTTGCAGGTAGAGACAATAAAGCCAATACTTGTTCACCCACCTGAAATTCTCTTAATTTAGCTTTTCTGTCAAAGCATTGTTGCATTTTTATTTGAGACTTACTCAATTTCTTTTTATCAAGAGCTTGTGCCTCATATAATCTGTGCCGGAATCCACTCACATAATCTGAAGTATTTTCAGAAGGTTTAGACGTTCGCCACTCCTCAGCTAACACAGTTGTAGGTCCTCTCACTACATGTCCTCTCACTAATTCATTTGGGCTAAACCCAAGACTTTCTTGGATTACCTCATGGATCGCTAACAACATCCACGGCAGACCTTCTTCCCAATCAGCATCAAGTTCTTCCCAATCAGCATCAGCAGCCCCCCCCCCAAACACCCCCCTGCCCCCAGAAGAAGAAAAAAACAACAACCCAACAATAAAATCACATAGTGTTCATTTGAAAGACACAGTTAATAGAATCCAGTTATTTTGCTAGATTAATCTAACTTTCAAGGGAGGAACCATTAGCACATTGGTTACTGCCTTGAATTATATGCATGGCACACTTTTAGTTATGACTTGTTAAACTATACTTTGTCACGAAATGGAGTTTTTAAAAGTGAAAGGGTCAGAGAGATACTTATGTAGTAACACAATACTTAGGCTATCTCTTAAATAATTTCGAACAGCTCTAATTTTAACAACTATCCAAACTGTTATAGACCTAAAATAGCTTTTGTAGCCCTATGTCACTCTTAAAATGTCAGAGAAAAGGACAGAATCAGAGATTATTTAGAAAATAGAACATTGCACTTTGCATATTATTGGCTACTGTAAAAAAAACACATAATTAAAGTTGATTTTAGTTGATCAACTAAAATCAACTTTAATTATGTGTTTTTTTTTACAGTAGCCAATAATATGCAAAGTGCAATGTTAATTTGCAACAAAGTGCAATGAAAATTGTTTTCATTTCATGAATGAATGATCACATGATCATTCAACCAAAATGATCACATACATACAATCTTGTTCAAAAAGCCTAACACACAATGAAATCAATTCACCAAGTTAATAAAATTTAAAGATTTGTATTAAAGGAGTGTCTTTTATGCTACGTACGTAGCCAACGCCGTACACTACGGCGTACCCTCGACGCAGAAGTATAAATTGGCCTTAACTCAGTGCTTACCTCCTCCTCCTAACTCCTATCAACAAGTGACCACTTCAGAGAAGTCACCATAGTCTCCTTCAGCCTCCTCTCTTGAGAAGTGAAATCAACACTGAAGCGTTCGGCGATTTGCACCAACTGCTCCTTTGTACAATTCTCAAGCAAAGTTTCTGATGGACACGCAAAGAAATCCTTGAGCACCGAAGACATTTTGTTCGTATGTTTTATGCACAATAACACAAACGAAACTACTAGCTAACACACGTGAGACGATGTTCACTCAAAAATTCCCATAAGCCACGGTTTCAAAAAGGAACTACGTCACCGTATTACGCAACCGCATTCATTAAATTTTCTAAGACTTCCCACAAGTCAAAACACAGTGTAAGCGTGAAATAAACTACACTAGACACGCAAACTCAACAATTTACCTTTTTTATTTTTGTAGAATGGATTTACCATTTATAATATAAGAGAACTTCAGCTCCTAACTCAGAAAAACACTAACTAAATCCTACCTAGTCTTCAGAGATGTACCGGGCTCGAGGCGACAATAAACTCTGAACTCCGCAACTATCAGTCAAATTGAAAGTCCGGAAGCATACCCCCAATAGAGAATTAATCTCCACCCAGGATAACCTCCAAAAACAAGAAAGGCAAAATAACAAAACAAAACAACAAACAGTGCTCTGTCGTAAGGATTGTATTCACAATCCAGCTGGAAACACTCTAACTCACCAAAGTTCTCTTACGAGAGGTTCTCTCGTATTGCGTAAGCTAGCTTACGCTACGGGAAAGATTCATCTTTGCTGAGAAGTTGAAGCCAAAAAATTATTCCATAATTTTGTAATCATTGTCAACGCAGTCTCTTCTGAGGCAGACCATGAGCGGGCTAGCTAGCGGCTCATTGGTTCGCTCAGAGAGAATGCACG